AAAATATTTGAATTTCATTTGAAAATATTTCAAATTCAGAAACTTTAATCAACTTAATGATATTCATGAGAGAAGATAAAATGACTTCTTCAAAATATATGAAATATGAGTTGGAAGTTTAAAAGGATCAAATTTAAAGTCCTTCTGAAATTATTTTCAATTTGGAGTTATTTGGAGTTTTATTCAAATTATTTTCTCCAAAAATAAATATATGGAAAATAGGGTAAAATGATTCCCTACATCAAAAAATTGGAGAGAAATAAATTTGAATTTATTTTGGTATTTTTAAAATGATTTTTATTGGATTTTATTGCAGCAGTAGCACTCTTTGCTTTATCTAAATTTGTGTGGATTTTTTTATGCTAGAAAAATGTCCATGCTGTAGAAAATATTTTTCTGAAAATTTTGATATATTATATGCCTATATTATATGTTACTTTATTTTCTTTTTCTTTCTTTTTCTCTCTGTTTAAAAAAATGTTTTATAAAAAAAACTCTCTTCGCCGACTGGGCCGACCCAGCTCCTAGGCCAGGCCATGGCCCTGCCCACGCCGCTCGTCCTCGAGCTCAGGACAGAGTCCCGAGCCACCACGGCATCAACGCGGCCTCCGTGCCGCCGCCGGCCTCCTCTTGCCCCCTCCCCCACGCCATCTTGCCCTCTCCCTCTGCCTTTAAAAGGCGGGCCCCAGACCTCTTCCCCCTTCCCATCGCTCGCAGCCACCGCCACCGACTTCACCGCCGCCGCATCCCGCCGCCCTTGCTCTGCGCCGCCGCCGCCGCACTTTCCGCGTCGCTGCTGCTCACCGCCCAGCGCCGCTCCCCGCTGCCGAGTCGCCGTGCCACAAACCGCTGCCGCCCCGCGCCGTTCCGCCTCGCCGGAGTCGCCGCCGCCGCTGCCCGGACTCGCTAGATCTGCCGCCGGAGTAACCGCCGCCCCCGCTGGTTTTCTCGCCAAAGCCGACCAAACCGGTAAACCGCCCGGCCCGGTTTATGTTCTTTTTAGGGTTTAGGTTTTTTTTCTCGGTTTTCGTTTAAAAAAAGGTTTTTTCTTTTAACCTAGTTATTTAGTGAACGTTCGCTGGTTAGGACTTCACAGCGAATGGATTCGTTCGTTAGCGTTCTATAACGAACGTTCGGTATTTAGTTTTTTTCTTTTTCTATTAGTTTTAGTTAGGGACCTATCCGCAGTTAATTTATAGTTTAGCCCCTAGACCTCAATCTAGCGTTACTTTTCGCTCGTTTATCCAAATCCAACGAAACCAATGCCCACTTCTTCGTTATGATCTCCTCTATCCAGTAAAACAACTTAAACATATTTTTTGAAAGTTTTAAAATTTGTTTTCAAACAGATTTGTATTTGAACTTCATTTGATCGTAACTCGAGTTTTATAACTCCGATTTAGTTGATTCTTTTTGCAAATCGAAGCTCTTGACCTAAACTTTCTGATAAGGCCAAATTCACTCAATTTTGGTACTGTTAGAAATTGTTTTATGCTGCAAGAGTTAATTGGTTGTTTTCAAAGTTTTTCGAGATTCTTTCCTTCGATTCCTTTTGCTTGATTGCTTATGTGTGGTTACTATTGCTTTCTCACGATAGATTGACCGGAGTGTGACAAGTAGAACTATCAGGAGTTATGAGAGCGAATCATCTTCATCAACAGTACGAGGCAAGTTCACACTTTGATCATATCCCTTTATTACCCAGTTTTTATGCATTAGTTTCAACCCTCAAACATTGCATGAGTATGATTGATGACATGTGGGTATTGGGAAGTAGTTGATAAGGTAGAACCTATTATCCTTTATATCAAAACCCTGGGAGTTACTACGTTATGCTTATACTGTTATGCTATGCTCGTAGGCGTGGATTGGTTCTAGAGAATTCATGAAAGATGTGAGAGTTATTATTATCTAAGGGAAACTTAAGGTGGTTACTTTAATACACATCTGGGTGGATTGGTTGGGGCACCCTGGAGCACCCAGTCGATTGTCCGGGCACCTGGAGAACCCAGTGCTTTCCCAAGGGAATCCCGGAGGCCCCGTGTGATCACCCTATGGAATGCCACCCAGGCTCAAAGGGATTATAAGATTATCCATGCTAGAAACTTCCGTGTGCAGCCACAAGCCATTATGGGCTCTGGCATAGTTGAGTAAGTTGCGTGAGCTCTTGAAGAGGTGGACTAGCAGATGTAGGGGGATTGTAGGTGTAACTGTCCACCCGGAGTAAAGAGTTAATGTTTCTGAAAGACTGTGTCTCGGTCATCCGTTTCTCAAACACCATGTAGTGCGAGAAATCCAATGGAGGAGATCGAGTCTTGTGGGGAAAAGTGCGCAAACCTCTGCAGAGTGTACAAACTAATCATGGTTAGCCGTGTCCCCGGTTATGGACATCTTGAGTATCTGGTTCTTGGATTATCATATGGATCTCATCACTTTACTTAATTAATTTGTTGGGTTGTTAACTTTTTAATTGGGATTGAGTTGGAGGAACCTTCTCAATAATTTTCAACCAACTTTGTAGTTAAATGAAATATATTCCTTTGCAGTAGGGAAAAATTGGCTTTTTGCAAAAACATGTTAACCGTAGAGCCTCCACTAGCCATATATGCATGTAGTGATAGCTATTATTCATCATTATCCTATGGTGTGAATTTGCCAGTACATTCAATGTACTGACCCTTTGTGGCTGCAACGTCTCATGTTGCAGGAATCTTACGACGAGTAAGTGATACGTTAGGATTACGATTTCTACACTCAACTTTGTCGTTGGTGTTGATGGGAATCCACAACCTTGTTGTTACTTCCGCTATTTGGATCGAGGTAATAGTATTTACGTTACTTTATACATGTCATTTACCTCTGTTATAAATGCTCGAGTACTGTGTGTGTCAGCATACCGATCCAGGGATGACACTTAAGCACAGAGACTTGACCATCTGAGGTCGGGTCGCTACAGGCGGCCTAGGGCGCCGGTTGTGTGGTCGAAGGCGGCAGGGCTACGGCGGCGATGGAGCAGTTGGGGGAGAGGGGGGAGTGGAGGGGAAGGACTTAGCAAAATTTTGAGCCCGCGCGGCCGGGGGTTAAGTTAAACTAGTAGTAGCGTGTTTTGCCGAAACGCCCTATAGCTAAGTTAGCTATAGTGTTTTCCATCAAAACGCGCTACAGCTATTCCTTTATGTTTTCTTTTTCTTTTTCTTTTGTTTTCTTTACATTTTCTTTTTTTCATTTCTCCTTTTTCTATTTCTTTCATTTTCATTTACTTTTCTATTTATTTTCTTTTTCATAGCAGTAGCGCTCTACAACATAAACGCTCTGCTACACACTTTTTAGCAGTAGCGTGCTTTTGGAAGAACCGCTACTACTATTCCTAGCCTATCGGCACCAGCGAGGGAATTATAGTAGTAGCGCTTTTCCGCGCAGATGCGCTACTGCTACAACAATGGTTGTACCGTGCTTTTGTAACAAGCGCTACTAATAAGTAGCAATAGCGCCGTGTTTTGACCAGCGCTACTGCTATACCTCTGTGTATAAGGTTTTTCCTAGTAGTGTGACATCATGCACTCGAGTAGGGAATGACGTCACGAGTCTGTCGCTCCACACAACTGACAAGTATCGGATTGGTGACATATGTCGATGATGCCGGACGTCTTCAGTTGGAATAGAATGTTTTGCCAGCCTCCACAAAAGATTGTGTAGCTTTCCTCAGACGTCCACCTGCTAGAGCTTCTTCTGTCCATCCTCCTTGGCTCCATAATTGGAGGAGCTCGCACGCCCATCGAGCCAAGCCTCCCGTCGGCGCTGTGTGTGGGTGAGCATGCGGTACGCCGTCCTCACTGTGAAAAAACATCTTGTCGGAATTCCATGCCCAGAAATCCTCATTATTTCTAGTACAAAGCGGTATGCTCAAGATTGCGTCCACATCGGCGGGGAGAAAAGTTTGTTGTAAGACCTCCCTATTCAACGAGGCCTCAACATGATTTATGAGCTCATTAACCAGGGTGGGGCGAACCGTTGCGAGGCACACAAACGGTCTCATGTTTTCATCTCTAGGGATCTAGTTGTCCGAGCAAATAACGATGGAAGAACCATCCCCAACTATTCGGATGAAGCCTTGGTGTAGCACATCTATTCCTTCAATTATTGCTCGCCATATATGTGAAGGATGGTTCCCAAGTTCGGCTGACAAAATATTACCAGCAGGGAAATAAATAGCTTTCAGCATCATGGAACAAAGAGTGTGTAAACATTGTAGAATGTGCCACGCCATCAATGCTAGGTTGAAGAGCTCGAATCCCCTGAATCCCAATCCACCCAGAAACTTGGGCTAGGTCATGTCCTTCCAAGAAACCCATGACGTCTTCCTTTGGCCTTCCATGCTTTCTCATCAGAATTGTCGTATGAGTTTATTCAGGTGCTCGCATAAGCCTCTCGGTAATTTGAAACACGACATAGAGTAAACTAGAACCGGCTGAGCAACTAACTTGATCAAAACCTCTTTGCCAGCTGAAGAGAAAAGTTTTGTCGTCCATCCTTTAACCTTGTTCCACACACTATCCTTTAAATATGTGAAAGCCCCTTATTTAGAGGAGCCTACATCAGAGAGGCTTCATTGGGCACTTGAAGAATATTTTTGATCTCATCTTTGACATTTGTTGGGCAATTTTTGCTGAAGAAAAGGTGGGCCGCAAGTGGAAGGAGGGAGGGCATAACTGGGCCATCAGGCTGGCTAATTGGCCATTTACGAGTATTCACACCGAGCCACCCAAACAATGTGCCTCCATCTAGAGCCCAACTTAGCAGAAGCCTGAATCCTAGAGTTTGTCGTTCTCCCCCGTTCCCAATTTTCTCACCTTCAAGCTTTTTTAAGAAATGGGAATGTTTTCTCCATAATGCATATGCTCAACCGCCCGTTATTACATAGTTCCAGCCTCCAGCTGATTTAATAGAACCAATAAATGGCCCAAATAGAACACAGATTGTTCATGATCATGTAGAGAAAACTAGGCACAAATTCTCCTACTAGATATCCACCCAAGGTTTGCTAAGATCTCCATGACTGTTGTCTCCAAGATACGGCATGCCCATCTCATTCTCGTGTTGTTCTCCTCATTTTCTGCAACAATGCGCATGACCTGGTCCGGTGCCCACCGAGGATCACCTACATATATGTATTTGTCCATTTAGAAACAATATCATTTCAAGTCAGCCAAATAGCCCAATATAAGGCAGGTGCCCCTACCAGAACTTGGGTTCATATTAGTGAATCGACCTTTACATATGTGAGGTACATTAAGGGTAGGGCAAGACCAAAACCTACATGTACGGTTGTCCAAACTGACAATCTATAAATAAATGTTGGATAGTTCATTATTGTCATAAATACAATAAAGAGTGCTCCCTTACCAATTAGTACGCTTTACTAGACTATATTTTGTCAAATAACCACTATACCTAATAAAAGATCTTAATCCTTGAAGGTATTTTAGATGAGTCGCTTTAACACGGTCACTATTATATCCTCTTTTCCAATTTTAACATGGTCCCTCTTACCTCCTCTTTTCACACGGAAGGTAAGAAGGTAAGAGTTACTCGGACCCACTATTTAAGGAAATCAACAGCCCAGATCTATTATAGTGTACTCTTATATCTCATATGAAAGAGGAGGTAAGAGGGACCATGTTAAAACTGCTCTCTAATTTTATCACAATTCTCTGGATATGCAGCATGTCCCAAAGAATAGTGACACATATTATACAAGATTAAGCAATACTCCCTCCATTCCTAAATATTTGTCTTTCATGTGGTTTGCAATGGACTACCACATTCGGATGTATATAGATATTTTTTACAATGTAGATTCATTCATTTTGCTTCGTATGTAGTCATTTGTTGAAATCTTTAGAAAGACAAATATTTAGGAACAGAGGGAGTATTTAGTAATACTCCACACACTAATGAGGGTACGCGTCAGCCAGAAAAGTCTATGGAGTTTCATTTCGGGATATGCTCCATTCTCTATTTGTCTTCAACTCTTCATACAGAAACAACTAACAAATTCCTTTTTGTGTAGATTTAACTTGACAATTTTATGCATGAGGCATTTGAACTTCTTAGCTTAGAAAATGTTAAGATCCCTTACAATTTCGGTCTGTGTCCGCCCCTGATCTGGAGGCGGCCGGGTGAAAAGCAACTGCTAGAGCAGTGACAGAGGATGGTTCTAGAATACAGTATAGTGCCCGTGATGTATATCAAATAGTGAGCCAGAAATAATTTTTTGCGTCACATATCCATACTTTGTACTCTCTATTACTGTATATACATAGTATAGCTTCCTAATCGATGTTCTTTTGCCAAAACTCGGTTGTAATGCATCAAATCTGGCTCTCACAGTGATGTACGAATTTGTTATAGTTTTGTTCTTTGTTCTAGATCTAGTATGTACGAGAGAGATAGGGATAGAGATAGAGAGAGAGAGAGAAGGAGTTTACTGTTGAGGTCACCGTGATGGAACTGCTCCATGATGTCGTAGTCGTGGAAGTGTGCGCTGCAGTTGCACGAGCCGCCGTCAACCGCGGCCTCGGCCATCCTCTGGAACGGGCACAGCCTCTGCGCCTCCTGGAAGGCCAGCGCGATGCAAGCGCCGCAGTCCGGCGACTTGGCATCCGGGTGCCATGAGCAGTCGGCGGAGGCCACAATCCGGTTGGGGCTCTCGCCGGCGTCGTCGACGTAAGAGCGCCCGCACGCGCCGGCGTCGTCGACGTAAAAGCGCCCGTCCGCGCCGGCGTCGTCGCGGTAGGAGTCCCTGTAATAACAGGAGCCGCTGGATTCCGCGTTCGCCTTGGCGGGAATGGTGGTGACGAGATGGCGCAGGGAGGCCTCGTACGCGCTGCCCGGAGCGTACGTGCCCATGTCGTAGGTGCCCCCGCGCATGACGACGCCGCACTCGTGACTGGGCGTGAGGGCCAAGCCGTAGTCAGCGGCGGGCGAGCAGCAATCGGTTCCGGCGGCTAGCGCCGGGAGGAGCGATGCGAGCAGGATGAGGACCGAGGCGGTGGCCATGGCCGGAGAAAGACAAGTACTACTGTATTTGGGTTCGATTAACGGGAGGATGGTGCTCTGATCTGGCGAGGTTAGACAGTGTATATATTGTGGATTAGCTGAGCTCTTAACTAAGAGTGATTATCGACCGTTGACTACGAGCTACCGTCTATCGAGGAGTCAACATCTGCTAGCTGCAAAATATTGGTAGATCGGCTCTCAAGTAACATGTTCCGAGTTGCCCACTATTCAGTACGTAAAGTAGTTTTATACGGAATCTGAAGATACGTTGGCAAACATGACCTGGCGCTAATCTTTGACTTCTGACCAGTGGCACTACCAATGATTTGCGCTACCTGACTCTTGGCATCTCCAATGTTAACCCGCAAATTTGTTTTGGCATCCATCCGCGGATAGTAAAGACTAGTCAGACAAAATTCATGCTGCAACTGGCCGGATGAAATCTAGCGGCTTCACTGATGCATGAGCCGGCCATCCAACACTACATGTGTACATTTCAACCGCTGTATGAACTAACCGGACGAAATTCATGCAAAAACTGCGTATTGATATAAACCGGACGTGATCATCACACTTCGGACATACTTCAACTAAAAGCGAAAGCCGGTCCAACTCTGGAGGTATAATTTTGCCTCCGTGGCATCCACCTCGGCCTCCACCATATCTTCCTTATGTCCGCCTGCACCGCTCATCGGAGTGGCCATGCTTCAACCGGAGGGGAAGAGTGGCTCCTTCGCTTCCGTGAAGCCGAGGCGGGGGTTGATGATGACCTGCGCTGAACCGGGCAAGACATCGGTTGTGTATGCCGGCAACGCGGTTGTGGTGGCCATCGTAGGACCAAAGAGGCGGCTGCCTCTCATGGTCTACTTTTCCTCGGTGTCGGCGGCAATCGCGGACGTGTTGGCCGCCTCCGTCGGCAGGGCACGGTTGCGCCAACGATTGCGGCGACTAGCACGGCCAAAGGCGCGGGAGAGCGTGACGACACAGCGACATCCATTGCGGCCACAGTGCCCGTGCCACCGTGCTCCCCCGCGTGCTGGCGTGGAGCAACTGACCACTCCTCTTCAAGCTGGGTTGGAGCGCAGCTTCAATGCTGGTGTCAGTGAGAGGTCGTGTCCGCTCTGGGTCGGCGTTAATGCGGAGAGGCTGCTCTACAGCGGCAAGAATGCGGACAGCTGGCGTTGGGCAGGAATGCATG